AGACCAAACCCGCCACGGACAACCCCTACAAACGCATTGCGTACTTCACCTATCTACTCCACGAAGGCTATATAGCTCGATCATATTAACGGTAGCATTCACACGGCATAATAATAGAATAAAATTATGTCAATTGCATGCAGCCATAAAAACAGACCCCAACGGACACCTAGGCTCAAGTCATAACGGCGATAGCTGGCTCTGACGGGTATTAATTGCTGATGTTATTATGTTTGTTCAGCGTACTCGGAGGTGCGACATTAGACCAGTGGCATGCCCACTCGTCCTGCTGGCTGTCGCACCGTCGCCATTCAAGGATTAAGCATCCAGGTCCGCTGGTGCTGCCTATGAATGAATGGCATTCCCGTGTGCCTGCAAGGACTTTTATGCCCCCATCGCAGCCACCGTCCGTCACGAGGGTACTGGCGATGCTGGTGTGGACAACATCACCGGTACATCAAAACTAACATTAACGAGTAGGCCTACGGGTATATTCTCTGTAGAGGCTAAATTGAATAATTATGTTGCTCTCCTCTGGTATCCAACGTTTCAACACGGAAATTCACTTACCAAACCGTCGTTACTTATTATTATTTCCTCGATACGAAAGTCCCATAATACATTAATGCATCTACTGCACTCTAGCTCAGAGCATCATGCTCCGAAGAATTATTCCTCCGAGATCTATCCACGATACACCGCGGCACTCAGTACGCATGACGCTCACGTGCCTTTCAGGGAAGGCGCGTGTGAGGACATGTAATTTCGAGAGCCAGCGCGCCTCCATGCTTGTGGGACGGGTCCTGTGAGAAACCCGCACAAGGAGGGCCATGTCACTGCGGAGGCTCCAAGCTCAGGCTGCTGCGGCCACTGGTACGCAGACAATCATGATACCCAATATCTTTTCAGCTAATGCCTGGGGCCCGTTTGCTCATGAAAGCATCGTAAAGTTAATGCAATGTTAATGCTTACGATAACACTTACGACTAATGTTAATGCCTACGAGACGGTAGCGCTTGACAGAAACACATCGTACGCTACGAGCAAACGTCACGCCTAACAGCGAACTTCATTAATTTTCATGTCATCAATTTGGGCTGCTGCATTGGAATGAGAATCGATCACAAAAAAAAACAAAAAAAAAAAAAAAAAAAAAAAAATGCCAAATTCATACACATTTAATTGTACATCCAGTTAATTTATGCATATTATGATGCTGCTAAGCCTGGACAGTATAAAATAATATGGTTGTCATGAAAAACGACCAGCGGTCAATTGGAATTTATTCTGCCACACAAGCACAAAAGTTCATCACACTGCTAATACGACAAGCGAGAGTCGATGGCAAGCCGTGTAACATTTAAAACAATGGCGAACAAATGCCACCTACGCCCAATTCTGTAAATGTATTGTTTTGCTTTTATCATCGGTTAGATAATTAATCTATCTTTGGCGTGTTTTTTCCAAGAAAACACCATTTCTATTCATTCATTATAAAAACTATTATATATTGCCTAATAATTGCTGAATTCGTTAGTGTAAATTTGTTATTTTCAACTTAATATTAAAGTTACGCAGAGTGTCTGGGCGTCTCGTAATTGACTAAAGCTGGTAGGCTGGCGTGCGTCTTGACGCGAGAATGGTCTGCTGTAATGCATTAGGCACGTTCACACGGACGTTTTTGGCCCCAGCCTAATTAGCGCCCGCGCCAGATCTATCGGCTCGAGGCTGGTGCGTTCACACGGACGGTTTCGCGGCGCGTACCAATTGCGCCACGAGCCAATTTGGCTTCAATCGAAAACGTCGGACCCAGGCCTGGAAGGCCAGATTATTTTTGCGCACCGAGCTTTCGGCCGCAGAGGTAGGAGCGTAGAATTCGCGGTGCAGCGGTAGAGTGCACGAGGTGTTCGAACGTGTGTACTCTTCTGACGACAATTAGCAAGTCTCCAAAACAGTTATAAAAATTTGAGAGAGACGTTTCTGAAATTGATAATTATACTCGCGAAAGGAAGTAGCACCCTAAACACTCTTTAAAATCGTACACAACACCATCTCGCCGACATACTAGCCAACGGTATCTGTGAGATATTTGTGCATAAAATTTCATTTGAATTTGAATTTGACAGACAGTATTCACTTGCGATACGTCGTGAACGCTCCGACTCAAACCGCGCCGGCAGCAAAAATTTGGCTGTGCGAGCAACAAATTTTAGCTCCATTTGCGCTCCGAGCCCAAACTCCTATGACCGCTACCCCTGCTGAACGCCCCTGTTTGTGTTGTTCGTTTTGCCGCGGCTGTGGTTGTCGGCGCCGCCGTGCCGTTGGAATGTTGGTGGTGTAATCTTATTTTGCGTGACCAGGCTAATTATGTAAACGCATTCGCGCTTTATTACAACATGGCCGGCGTAAACTCCGCGCCGACTGTTTACACCCAGTACGCAGAATGCCGGACCATCACGCGTAAGAAAGCTTATGCAACATATGAGTATGATGACATCCCCCTTCTTGAGAGCAAGCATGTACACACTGAATAACTGTTCAGTTAAAATTGTACACAACCTAAACTTGCTACAGCCAAGTGCCGGCTTGCACCAGATGTTGAAAGCACGACTATCCCAAGATAATACATGGCACTACTCTTAACTCAACAAATACCCAATGTATGAATTGATTTATTGTGTTTACAGTCCTATCGAACAAATGGAATGAGTATCGCAGACATGATCGACCACGCTATCAGCATGTCACAGAACGTAGCCGTATTCAACGTCACCGGACATCCGGCGATCTCCATCAACGCTGGCTTCACGGCCGACGGCCTTCCCGTCGGTCTCATGCTCGTCGGCAAGCTGTGGGATGACGTCACCGTGCTCGACGCCGCCTACGCCTGGGAGCGGCTCCGCGGCGCAGACGACACACCCCGCGTGTGACGTCACGCGGCCGCCGATATCGCTCACGTGACTACGTATCGACGTCACGATTAGACCCATTACGATGTGTGACGTCATACTAAGTGGGAGGTGCAAGAGAAGCGTGAGACGGAGCGAGTGAGAAAAATCCAGTCCGGGGTTGACAGAAAAACTAAAGCAGAAAAGATGAATAGTGCTGAATAGAAACGGGATCAAATAATAAGAGATTAGTCAAATATCAGTGGTTGGTGTTTCATTTTCAACTCTGTAATGTAACCTGCTTTATATCGAAATTACTAGTACTATCTATCTAGGTGATATTATAAACAAATTAAACATTAAACCTATGCTATATTAATCTTCACCACTGTAACAGAGCGATGAAATATAAGCGCATGCACGCCCGCACGCGTGCACGCATATTAGTACTGATGGTGGGATATGTCGCGGTCTACGCACAATTTTATGACTTGAGATTTACATTTCTGGTCTAACAATTTAATAAATGCATAGTTATTACGACTTTGTATTTAACAAGCAACAAACGCACGCACGCACACACGCACACACACATCACACAAATATGTTCATACACACGCACGCATACACACATTACACAAATATGTATCATACACACGCACGCATGCATACAT